AGCATGTTGCCCCTTTAAGAAAACCACATCTGTCCATCATGGTTATTCATTCATCTCAGTGGACTCGCTGCACTGAGCTTCATTGTTTTACTGAAGCAGCCTTTAAAAAAAAAAAAAGAAGTATACTTTAGCATCCTTTTAAAAAGAGTGGTTATTACAGAAATAATTACTTCAGATGAATGCACTTAAGAATATAGAAAGAATGTACTTAAACTGAAAGTAATATTTTCAGACTCTTAATAGCATGTTATATAAAATTAAATAACAATGTATTATAGTTTACATTTATATTACATGCAATTACTCTAAAAAAAGTGTGATTTTAAAACTATTGTATTAAAGCAACAAAAGATTATTAAAACATATGATTTAAAATGTACATTAAGTAAAACATTTAAATTGACATTATTACAAAGTGCACTTTAAAAAAAAAGTGTACTTAAGTGAGTACTTAAGAAGTATGAAAATGTCTCTTTGGGTACACTTAAGTGTCCTTTTATTTCATTAATGTTGTCTACAAGTACAGTTTTTTTTTAAATGCACTTCTAAGATTTGAAGAACACTGTAAGTGCACATTCAATACTATTAAGTGCACTTCTTTTTCACATGGGAGAGCAGAATGTTTGACTTCAGGATGCAGAGGAGAAAACGCCGCAGTTTATTTAATTGATAACGGATGAAGGTGCCTGAGAGAGGTCAGGGGTCAGGATTGCCATGGAAACTGCATGTGTTTAGGGACTGGGTGGGGTGTTTGGGGGTTAGGACTGCAAAAGGTCGTAGTTCATAGGTTGCTGCTGCAGCTTTTTTCAAAATTAGGCCATCATTGCCTTCTGCACGCTTGGTCTGCTGTCTGTCCGTGTCACGTGATGAAGGCCTCGGGTCAGTGCCTGTAAACCACCAGAAGCCTCTCTAGTGTCCCCCAAAAGTCCCCTGTGCCCTGCAGTCACCCACATGACCTCAGCTGAGTGGACATCAATGCAGCAGCGACTGCCCCATACCAGGCACCCATATGCCACTGGGAGCTCCGCACATGGCCCTCCTCTAAATAATTGTGTAAACTCTGACAGCCTGGGCATGAATGGACATCCAGGAAAGCACATTTCAAAATACACTCGGTTATTTATTTTATTTTTAAAAAAAAGCAATGTTTTATTTTAATTGGAATATATTAAAAGTACAAGTATCTGGCCAAAAACATACCTGAGTAAAAGTAAAAAAGTACAACTTTAAATTGTACTTGAGTATTAAAAAAGTACAAATACCCTAACAAAAAAAAAAAAGAGAGAGAGAGAGTGAAATTCTTGTTTTACCATGTTAAACCATCTTCTCAATACAAAGTGAAATTGCTTAATTAAACTGACCAAACCTTTGTATATCTGTCTTACAAAAGATTTTATGCAAAGTAAGAAACAAAACAAAACACAATGACCGCAGGTCAAAAACATCGATCTAGTGCAACAACAACAATTAAATGCAGCACAGCAGAACACAAAAAAATACAGGCTTCACACCCTATTCATGCCATCCCATATGTATATAACTGACTGTCTTCAGATGAACACAAAAAAAAAAAATTTAATCTCTGCATATAATGCAAGTATACGGGACAAGATGACGCTTCAAAAACTACACAGTGAAGATGACGGTAACCAAAACAACCCCTGATGATGAATCCGCGTCTTCTTAAGTGAAATGATAGGCATGTGTAAGGAAAATACAAATATTAATATTTTAAACTTGACCGTCATGTTCGCTTTGTGCGGTTTCTTAAGCTGAGATGTGTGTACTTGATGCATGAAAACAAACCTCACTGATTCTCACATGTCCAAAGCATTTTTGAGCTTCTACTTACCATATTTAATGTGCATAAGATGAAATAAAAATGCAAAAATATAATGAGTGCTTTTTAAGTTGAAATAAAATTGTAAAGAGTAAAAAGTACTGTTTTTTTTCTTCAGAAATGTAATCAAGTAAAAGTACAAGGAGTCACTTTAAATTGTACTTGAATAAAGTGCAAATACCACAAAATAATACTTAAAGGGTTAGTTCACTCAAAAATTAAAATTAGCCCATAAATTACTCACCCTCAAGTCATTCTAGGTGTATATGACTTTCTTCTTTCAGACGAATCCAGTCGGAGTTATATTAAAAATTGTCTTTGATCTTTCAAGCTGTTTAATGCCACTCAGCGGGTGTTGCATTGCATCTGTCCAAAAGAAGTTAAATAAAAAGCGCCCATCCATAAAAAATTGTCTCACACGGCTCCGGGGGGTGAACAAAGGCCTCCTGTAGCGAATCGATGCGTTTTTGTAAGAAAAATATCCATATTCAAAACGTAATAATCACTTTAATGTAGCTTGTGCTCACTGTTGTACACAGAAGCAGCAAACCAACATTTGTTAACAGGAGCAAAGGAAAACCAGTCTCCTCTTGGCTTATATCAAAATCCTCCGACATTTTGTACTTCTAATTAGTGACCATTGTTTTGTTTTGATCTCTCCGCTGCGCTTCCGCGTTCATCACTTCTGAGCGGCGCATGCGCAAAGCTGACCTCATACGTCATCCGCGTATGACGGAGCTGCTTCACACGGAGCTGTTTCTGTGTACAACAGTGAGCGCAAGCTACATTAAAGTGATTATTACGTTTTGAATATGGATATTTTTCTTACAAAAACGCATCGATTCGCTACAGGAGGCCTTTGTTCACCCCCGGAGCCGTGTGAGACACTTTTTTTATGGATGGGCGCTTTTTATTTAACTTCTTTTGGACTGATGCATGAAACACCCGCTGAGTGGCATTAAACAGCTTGAAAGATCAAAGACAATTTTTAATATAACTCCGACTGGATTCGTCTGAAAGAAGAAAGTCATATACACCTAGGATAGTAATTTATGGGCTAATTTTCATTTTTGGGTGACCTAACCCTTTAAGTACAGTAATCAAGTAAAAGTATTTTACACCCCTGAAGTCAGGGTATCATAAATCCTGTTCTGGATTTGATCAGGATTTGAGTCAAACCCTGCTGTAAGTCACTCACGTGATATTGTTCATATGGTGATTGTTTTATTAATTTAAGTACATTTCTTGTTATAATTGTTCTGCAGGTGTTACAACTGTGGTGGTATGGACCACCATGCCAAAGAGTGCAAGCTGCCTCCCCAACCTAAAAGATGCCATTTCTGCCAAAGTGTCGCGCACATGGTCGCCAACTGCCCCGCCAAAGCCCAGCAGTCATCTCAGGGAAAGTCTAGCGGTGTCAAAGAGGAGAAAGCAGAGCACAGTTATTCCCCGCCACCCACCGGGAGCGCCGACTGAAACAGCATAGAACGGTGGAACGACGCTTGAAAACCAATCATATCACTATACTGGAAAAAAAAAAAATGCTAATGCTGCTGTTGGAACTCCCTCAGGTCTATAAAAGCAACAGATGAGAAGAATGTAACTTTTTTTTATTGGTTTAACTCTCAGGAATAGAGCTGCTCTCAGGAATCTCAGTACAATGTTTGGTGTATTTACAGAAGTAGTTATCTCATATCTCATTAAGGGTACGTTTACATGACAATAATGTACTAAAACAGAAAAGTTTTCCATTGTGTTCCGCATACAAATGTCGTCAAAACGATCCCTGTACACACGGATCTGTGTAAACTGCTAAAACACTGCATTATGCATGCCAGGCCAGTAGTTGGCGATGTCGCTTTGTAAAGAAACACTACACGTCTGCGCACCTACATATTCTTCAAGTACTCGTGCATTTAGACTGAACGCGTAATACGTATGCGCATGATGTCACTGTTTTTTATCCACAAATTTATGTTTTAGTAGTTTACACTGAGGCGATAACGGTATTGTTTTCAAAAAACGTGTACTTTGACATTTGAAAGTTTGCGTTTTCAGGCCTCCAAAGCGCCGTTGTTGTGAATGAACAGCCAAAACGCATAAAACGTTTTCTGTTTTGAGTTGAAAACAGCATTGTGTAAACACCCCACGTTATTTTTAAACGTGTTTTCTCTGCAGAGCTCGTCTAGAGTTGGCGAAAGGAATATTCCTAAAACAAAAGTCTTATTCTTACAGTTTATTGACTGTTTGATGTTTCTTGTATTTCTTGATGCTTTTATGAAAATGTTTTTTTTTGGGGTGGGGGGGTGGATTTGGCAATTGCCAGTTTTGCAATAGACTGTCCTGATCACCAGGGACCAAATGAATGTTAAACCGCTGACCTGGCTCTCTCAACCAGCGTCTCCTTTTACATGTGTCCAAATCTGTCACTAGTGATCTGCGGTTGTCTTCAAACAGCACACTCTATTAGACATGAAAGTACATAATCACACTTTTATCTCTAAACTTCAGTCTACAGTCAAATCTCAGCTCAATGTTTGCTATCTTGTCTTAAATGCTGCTGATCTGTGTGTCTGCTAGCAATATATTTTGTTATTAGTCTTTGACAATTGGCCTCAGGGGTTTTCTTGGAGAGAGAAATAAGTTATTCTTTTGAACAAATGTTGCCCATTCCTACGTCGATGGTGAAGACATTGGCTCCTTTCTCTAGCTGCCTGTAATGTTTGGAATGTATTTAACAGCCTTTTACTCCCATTTTACAGGAGGAGCTGAAAGACTTTAAGACTTATTTAATATACATATATATATACATACTGTTTATGTAAACCTATTATTAGCCTTTATGCATAGTATTTATTTATAGCAATGTGTTTTGCATCTTCTCCACGATGTAAAAGAGACTCAGGCTCCTACCTCAAGTATCTCAGAATTATTTCCTAAAATACCTCAACCATCATGTGCCAGAATCGGCTGATACGGATGAAACTGAGTTGTGTGTGTTTGTGTTTTATTGCACTGATTTTGTTATATTGTGGAGCATTGTTTTTTTTTCTCTGTCTGTGCTGAAGACTGCACTGCACTCGGCCTCATACAGATTTACGTTTAATTTTTCAGTCGCTATTTGACCTATAAATGCCTTTTACTTCACCAGTGTTGAATCATGACTCTGAAGTATGTCAGATTACTCAAGGAGTGTGAGGAAGACATGATTTGTGACATGAATTATATTATTTTATTCTAGTTCCATACCATCATAATCATTGTAATTATTGACTTTTCGAGATTTGATCAAACGGGAATGTATATCCTATCGAGAATGTTGTGGTTGCCTCTTACATAAGCTGGAAACACGATATCTAATCCATTCCTTTATGCAATAATATTTAAGCTCCTGTATTTAATAAAAGAAGGAATCGTAAAAAGTTTTGCACCATTTAGACGTGTTCATGCTGTTTTTGACTATCCCGTTGATCCTGGGAGTCACTTCTTGAACATTTGAATGTAATGTGAAGTTTTCAATGGTTTTTCATTTAATAAATTTAGTGGAATATAAGAAAAAGACTGGCTATGACTTCTTTTCTCAATGTTTTATTTATGGGTAAATTCCCAGCCCTAAAACTGCCATGAAAGCTAATCATTAAAGTTATGGAAATCTCTATAGTCAGCATAATTAGTTTTTTGTCAGTACAATCTCTATAAAAAGCTACATGTATTCTGATTTAACAGCTACATTTACTCTGATGTTCCTCTCTCAGCGTCTAGCGAACAAGCAGAACTAGAAAAAAACAATATTAGTGAGTGTATATTGCCAACTTGATGGTAAATTTACGAATCCAACTCTAGCACAGCGTCACCTCATGAATATCAATTACGCAATGTGATGTTCCGCCTCGTAAGTGGGCGTTGGTCAAGCTGTCCAATGAACGATTTTTAGGTTAAAAACAGCTACTCTGTGTCTGCAGTCAAAGACAGCACTGCACTTCTCTACAGAAACCACGGGGAGCCCTCACAAGTTGTCCAATAAGCATGTCATAACCACAGATAATAACATGCTGACAGTTTTATAAAGTTAACTGCGTTTCCTGCATGATTGACAGGTTGGAGTCAATGCACCTGCCCCAAATGGGACCTGAAAGTGTCCTGGTGAAAATGTTGGCGGCTCCCATCAACCCCTCTGATTTAAATATGCTTCAAGGCAAGAGCAAAGCATTTATGACCCTGGATCACAAAACCAGTCATAAGTGTCAATTTTTCGAAATTGAGATTTATACAGCATCTGAAAAACTGAATAAATAAGCTTTCCATTGATGTATGGTTTGTTAGGATCTGACAATATTTGGCCGAGATACAACTATTTGAAAATCTGAGGGTGCAAAAAAAATCTAAATATTGAGCAAATCGCCTTTAAAGTTATCCAAATGAAGTTCTTAGCAATGCATATTACTAATCAAAAATTAAGTTTTAATATATTTACAGTAGGAAATTTACAAAATATCTTCATGGAACATGATCTTTACATAATATCCTAATGATTTTTGGCATAAAAGAAAAATCTATAATTTTGACCCATACAGTGTATTTTTGGCTGTTGCTACAAATATACCCCAGCGACTTACTGCTTTTGTGCTCCAGAGTCACATTTAATAAATTGAATAAATAAAGCTTTACCTATGCATCGACTCGTAGTGGTCAAATGCAAGAAAAAAGCACGCAAATTTCTCCTCAAAGTCAAATTAAAAAAAAAAAAATTATATATATATATATCTTTGCTTAAGGAAAGTAAAGGCTGTTTTGACATTTATGCATTGTGATATTATTTACGTGTCTGGATGATTGTGCTGTTGTTGTTTTTTTAGTTAATTTCAGCAACAACAAATGCTACCATGGTTTTATATAATTAAAAAATTAATGCATTTTTAAAAATAATTTTATTAAAATCTTTTTCAATTACAATTATGAGAACGAGATGTTTTTGCATTGCATGTTGAGAATTGAGTGGGAAATGTCATATTTCTTTCTGTTAAACCAGGAAACTTTGAATTGAATGTAACTATCTCTCAACTATGATTTTGCATATTCACTCACTGTCATGTAACAGGCACATATGCCATCCTGCCTGAGCTTCCAGCGGTGGGGGGCAATGAGGTCGTGGCCCAGGTCATGGAGGTGGGTGACAAGGTGAAGACACTCAAGCTGGGCGATTGGGTGATTCCAAGAGATGCCGGCATAGGTGAACATTCAGTTTACATTCATAAGGCTGGTATGGTCAATGTGATTATCAGTAGTTCCTAATCTCTAACACCCCTGCATTGATCTGCACAGGAACGTGGAGAACAGCAGCTGTTTTGAAGGCTGATGATCTGGTGACTTTGCCTAAAGACATTCCCGTACTGTCTGCTGCCACTTTGGGAGTCAATCCCTGTACAGCTTTTAGGATGCTCACAGACTTTGAGGAGCTCAAACCAGGTTGGCAGCTCTTAACTCTATCCAAACCAATCATCGTACAACAGAGGTCTTTACTGAACTCTATATTTTAGGAGACACAGTTATCCAGAACGCAGCTAACAGCGGCGTCGGACATGCTGTTATCCGGATTGCTGCTGCTAAGAGCATTCAAACCATCAATGTCATCAGAGACAGGTAAAAATTAACTTATAGGAGTATGATGAACAGATTTGGAGAAATGTAGCATTGCATCACCTGCTCACCAATGGATGCTCTGCAGTGAATGGGTGCCGTCAGAATGAGAGTCCAAACAGCTGATAAAAACATCACAATGATCCACAAGTAATCCACACCACTCCAGTCCATCAGTGAAGTAAAAATCTGTGTGTTTGTTAGAAAGAAATCCATCATTAAGGTGTTTTAACTTTCTGTATTTTGATGGTGTTCGGGGGTTTGCTTTTAACAGTCGTGTCCTCGGCCTAAACTAGCTCTGAATGGAGTTGGAGGAAAGAGCGCCACAGAGCTGTTACGTCATTTACAGTAAGTGGCTACATTACCGAAACAGATAAATGAAGATTAAAAAATGTCCCCATGTCCACCAGCTTCTTTAGTGGCCTTTATTCCAAAAGAGTTTTTCTCATATATGCTTTCCATAGAGATTTAAATAAAGTTATTTTTAAGTAAATAAAGTTCTGAGGGGCCCACTAGGGGGCTCAGCAAAATCCCAAGGGGGCAAAAGTATATATTATATTATATTTAAAAAATGTAACTTAATTAAAATATTTAAACCACAAAATCAAGATGAAATCATGCTTCTTTTTTCCTCTCAATAACTAACATTTTAAATGAAGAATATCCGGTTCTTCTTTTAAAGTCTCAAAATTTCATTCATTTATTATAATCCCAGTTACTGTAAAAATGAATACAAGCAGCTTTGTCATAATTTGTCATACAGCAGAAATACTAAGGAAATATCTTCATCAATATAATAGGAGCCCCTTTAATATTGTGATGGACGTAGAGATGGAATGAAAATTTTATATCACGATTATAGTGACCAAAATTATTATGGTTATCAGCATTATCTTGGCATTGTTAAAATGTGCTGGAAATGTTCAAAAGGTACTGATATACACATTAAAATCATATCAGCAAGTTTTACATTTCAAACCAACACTATGAACTTAGTGTAATAAAATTAACATTTTGACAAAAAAGTTTTAGAAAATGATAAACCTCACATTTCAGCATTTAAACCATTTTTTTTTTCAATAAATTAAAAATGCGATTTCACTTTATTATTTGAACTGTTTAGACTCCACATTACCTTATTTTTCATCAATCAGTTAAAATTGACAACACTGTGTAAAAAGTCAGTCCAAAAGGCAGACAGACTGAAAGAAAATGCAAATTCACTCTCTTGGTCCTCTGTCTTCCACAATGTTTTCACAGAAATAAAAACCTAAGTTGCATGCTTGTCTGCATGAGACTGTTGCTAACTTTGCTTAATGCTGGGCAATATTTAGCGTGGATTTTTCAAATCGTGGTAAACATAGCTTTAATGATAATTAAAGGGGTCATTGGATGCTACATGCACTTTTACAAGTTGTTTGAACTGAAATGTGTGTTGGCAGTGTGTCTACACAACCACCCTATAATGATAAAAATCCACCCAGTGTTTTTTTGTTAATCTACTAAAATCTTTACCCCTTTCTCAAATCGAGCCAATCTCAGATGCTTGTCTGTGTGACGTCATACAGACAGGCCCCTCCCACGATAGTTTGATTGACAGTAGCGTTTCAGCACAGACTGGACTGGTGTCTTACCTTAGCTCCTGAGTGAGCTGTCATCAGTCCGCCATTGTTTCACCGCCGGAGCAGATGTTGACAAGAATGACTCCTAAGCGATTGAGGTGTTCTGTTGTTGGATGTAATAATGAACTTAGCAGTCGTCATTTACTCCCGACATCTGAGTCGCTGAAGACGCAGTGGATTATGTTTGTTTTTGAAGAGAATGCGCCCCCGATCTACATAAATGCGTCTATGTTCGCACGAATCATTCATGATCCAGCCTCATCTACAGAAGTAAGTGAGTATAAGGTTTTTAATGAATCTTTGCAAATAGCCTTTCCTAATAATGTGCTAATTAGCAAGTTTCACGATGAATGCAGCTAAAGTAAACAGTCCCTCAGAGAGCGGCTCGGAAGAGAGGGGCGGGGTCAGCAGAGCTCATTAACATTTAAAGGAAAATGCTACAAAACGGCTCGCTCTGAAAAGAGCTGTTTTTGACAGGGTAAAAAAGGTGTTTTTTACACTACCATTGAGAAATTTTAACCAAACTATGTTACAGACTTTTCATTAAGACCCTAAAGAATCATATCAACTTGTGGAAAATGGGCATCCGATGACCCCTTTAAAATGTGAAACTGTCCAATTTTACCTTGGTTTATCATGAAAACTGGTAACCGTTTCATCCCTAGTTGGAAGGAGGCCTCCGTATCAACCGCTGTTCTAAAGCATGAACCAAACAAGTCAGCGGAACAACATTACAAACTTTGATTTGATCCGATAGGACCCTTGATAAGCATTATGAATGAGGTCTGTAAATGAACGAATAAGGTTTCTGTGTTCCTCAGAAGTGGAGGGAGTATGGTGACCTATGGTGGGATGGCCAAACAACCAGTCACTGTTCCAGTGGTGAGTTTAACTCTGTTCTGTCTCATCTGCACCGGATCAGACTTGATATCTGCGGTTTTATAATTATAGTGGAAGATTTATATAGTCATGTTCCTGTCATGTGGTGCACATTGCAATTATAGAAGTCTGATGTGTTCTTTAGAGTGCACTGATCTTCAAAGATGTGAAAATAAGAGGTTTTTGGGTGACCCAATGGAAGAGAGACAACAAACATGGTGAGTGTCTCCAGAAAAAGTTGACATGTTATGTGTTCATTGAAGCTTTCTTAAATCGTGCTGTTGTTTGAGAATCAATAGAGTTTAATCCTTGGCACCTTTGGCCTCTTGTGAGAGATGAAGACGCCTTGCGTAACATGCTGGATGAACTCTGCATCCTCATTCGTGCCGGGAAGCTGTCGGCTCCAGCTTGCACTGAAGTGAGCCTTCAAGACTTCAGAAAGGCCCTGGAGAACGCCATGAAGCCGTATGTGTCCACCAAACAAGTTTTTGTCATGTGACCCCGTTTGAGTGTCTCGCGTGTATTCACGTGTTTGTTAAGATCTACGTAATCTTAATTCAGCTCCAAACACACATACAGTAAATGTGTGACATCAAAGTCCAGTGAGCTTTATCAGCTTCACTGCAGGTTTTGGATTTGATTTTGAATATGTTGACATTTATTATACTTTTGGTATTTATGAGCATCATAAGGATTATCAGTCCATCAGACGTCGGCCATCATTTACAGATAACCGGATAATGTACAGAGACTATGAGTTTGACTACTTGCCAAGAAAGACTGAGCATTTATTTCATCTCAAGCATCTTGGCAGATTATTGTTGCTTTATCACATGGCGTCAAACGTGTAAATCCTCATATGGGGCATTCATATTGAAGGCAGACATTCATGTCATTTATAAAACCCTGTAACAAACTGAATAATGAGAAATTACGACATGTTAAAAAGATAAACAACATTTTGTTAATGATATGAATTAGTACAACAGTAATAAACACATTGGGGTTTGCTAAAACTCATAGTTCTCTTGGCTGGTATTGACAAAAAGTTTCCATTAATTTGCAACTTTAGATGGCTACTGTACTGTATTGTTGGTCATAGTGAGTGTTCCTACCGCTGGATACCCTAATTACTGCTGGACTCTACAACAGTGGCGTTGACATTATGTAGTGTGGAAAAAACTTAACATCATGTTGATAAATGCATTTATATATAAATTGCAGGAGTGTATAATTTATCATCATGAAGATGAATCAAACCACTTTTGACAGTCTTTCATGCAAAATTTAAAAAAAAAAAAATCTTGTTTCTGACGGGGTTAAAAAAAACATTACATGCAACTTTTCATCTCAAAATTAAGATAAAGTCAGAATTCTGAAATATATAAACTCAGAATTGTGAAAGTCAGATTTGTGAAATGAAAAGTCGCAATTACCCTTTTAATCTCAAAGTCTCGCAATTTTGAGATAAAAAAAAATCGTGATTAACTTTTTAATTTTTTATTCTGTGGCAGAAAAAATACAGTTGTGAGATGCAATTCAAATTTTTAAAGGGGTCATATGACGTTGCTAAAAAGAACATTATTTTGTGTATTTGGTGTAATGCAATGTGTTTATGCGGTTTAAGGTTCAAAAAACACATTATTTTCCATATAATGTACAGTATTGTTGCTCCTCTATGCCCCGCCTTTCTGAAACGCATCGATTTTTACAAAGCTCATCGGTCTGAAAAAGCGAGGTGTGCTCTGATTGGCCAGCTATCCAGTGCGTTGTGATTGGCCGAATGCCTCAAGCGTGTGACGGAAATGTTACGCCCCTCACCATACTGTGATGACGTGTCCCAGCAGGACGAGACAAAACCAATAAAACCCATTATAAACGAGGCATTTGTTGCATCAAGTGGGGACATAATTACTGATTATAATGACTTGTACTGTCTTTTTACGCGTTGCGTATCACGCTGCGTAAACATAAAACCATGTCTGCATTTGTGATCGGAGAAATGACAAACAACAAACCTACTCTACACTGCTCAAAACTCGTGTTTGAATCTTTAGTGGCAAAGTATTTAAATATAAAAAACGTACTTACAGGCTGTGAGTCAGAAGCGCCAGACTGTCCTTGCAAAGTTGGAACTGCCCAACTTTATAGAAATGCAATTTTACAGATCTTCTTTATGCACCAAGAGCTTGTAACACAAAAAAAAATGTGAAAATCGCATCATATGACCCCTTTAATGTAATACTGCAGTGTTATTGCAGAGAAGTCATTTCACTCAGATATACAGTATGTCTCAATAAAGAAGAAAAGACAGTTGCAATTTTTTATTTACCTTAATGTCATTCCAAATTTCTGTGGAACACAAAAGATGATGTTTTGAAAAATGTTCGGGACCCCCCAAAAAACATTTTCATTTTGCGCTGAACTAAGAGACAGTTACATAAATATAAAGAAATCATGAAAGATCAAGTTTATGAATGGTACATTAAAAGTTTAAATACTTTAAATACTGGTGAGAACGTCACTGACGCTCATGCACCGGTCTGGAGGGATCACGTGACAATATTGCAGAAATGCTGCTGTTCTGTGATCAGCTCAAACACAGCAGGCTCAGCATCAGTGACAGCAGCAGAGTAAACAGCACTGGAGCAGTGGACGAGCCTCCCTCCTTCACCACGCACTTCTCATAGGCCTCAAAGTCCACTTCTCTCATCGCGCACACGTGATCGACGCGGCAGTCAGCGTGGCACTCCGTCAGGTCATAATTCACAGAGTTAAACTCAAAGTACTTCTGCAGATAACACTTGTCGCTGGTGATCCGCTCCATCACGCGGTGCATGGAGGCGGGAGAGGCATCCGGCACACGAAACGCCTCCGTCAGCCGGTACTCCTTCTTCCAGCGCTCATGCACCTTATTTGCGTATGTCAGGTTCAGATAGTAGGCCAATATATCCTTCAGGAACACAAAGCAGCAAGAAAAGAAATGTGTAAATCAGGGTTATTACAGCAGTATGTACTTTAACATTTTTTAACCCCGATTTGCAACAGTAAGCTTATAATAATTTCAAATTTGAGGTGTCAGGTCCGATTTCGCGGGAAATTGACATAATTCGTCAGTTCGATGTCATTCTGTGTGTAGTTACGTCACGTCGTAAACAGAACGAAGATCTGGCTATTAAAAGTCGCGTGTGGAGCGTTTGTAGCTTGTTCTTACAGTACTTGCTTAGAATTTAAACTTGTCATCTAGATGGCTGCTTTAATCTGTAAAGTTCTAAATGGTAATACCTGTTAACATCTGGGGAACCGGTTTCAAAACCAAGAAACCTCAATCTGTGGAGGGTCTGCAGTCAAAAAAGAAAGCGACAAAAGCCTGTGCTAAAACGAAGGTAAATGAACAACTCTAAGATCTGACTTTTTTTCTGCTGAACAGGCAAGACATTTCAGTGGCTCAATAGGTAGCTATCATTAGAGCACTTGTTTGCTTTATTTAGATAGGTATCAAGTTTATTAATTAATTTATTATTTGTTTTATTATTATTATTACTATTTTATTTAATTTTAGTGAGGTAAATTTCACTTTATCGTCCGGTAGCTATGAGAGAGAGTATACCGTGTGATCTAATCTGACTGAGCAAGCGTTTATAGATATTTTTAGTTACTTGTTGATTTTTTTTTTTTTGGATATGTAAGTATGAAGTATGTGGACGTACAGTGACAGATCTGCTCTGATGTGGTGCTCACAGATTCATCTGCCTACAGGAGCAGTGCCAAAGCACAACCCGCGTTAAAAAAAATAACTCCGTGAATATCTTGCATTTTTATGTTTCAAACATAGATGGCGATAGAGAGGCAAAAGTTACGTGCTGCAGCTTTAATTAAAACTAAAACAATAAAAATGTTATTTGAAATCAAATTAAATATTAAAAAAATTAGCTTATTGTTGAGACACCATTTCTCATTTTTGATTTGATTTGATTTAGTTTAACTTGATGTAAAATAACTAAATCTAATAACTAAATAAAAAATAATAAAAACAGTATAGCTGTATATTACAAAATTTAAACAAAATAAAATTACTAAAACATTAACTAAAATGAAAGTGAAAACAGAAAATAAAATCTAAATCAAAATATTAACAAAAACTATAATAGGCCTCAGTGGTACTAAAACAATGCTGGTGTAAATATGTGTAAAGTTTGCGATATAAATATATATTTCTTCATGTGGATGGATCTTACCTTGATCAAAAGTTTTTTGTGTCATACTCAAAGATGCGAATTCCGGGATTATTTCCACCATCTATGACACCAGGTAATGTTGTTATCCAGGGCGTCACTCCTGGAGTCAGGAACATCGCACTTATGGGAGATCCTGTCAAGGGATATTAACGGCTTCAATTTTACAAACAATTTGTGAAAGTCATCTTCACTCTCAAGAAAAAAAAAACATCACTGGGGCGTTACCCTTTCAAAAGGAAGTAAGGTGCACCATTTAGTTACTAAAATGTACCATTGAAGTACTAATATGCACCTTTTAGGGATAAATAGGATACAAATGTGCACCTTTTGAAAAGGTACAAAAGCTGTCACTGGGGAGGTACCTTTTTGAAAGGTACACTTTTGTGCCTTTTAGGTACTAATGTGTATACTAGCATACTGGCGTAGTGTATATATAGCGTTTTTTTCTGGATGGTTTTGTAGATTGTACCTCCCTGGGCTTGGCTAACCTGGTGGTGTTCTTTGGTGTGGCTGCATTTTGTGAGTGCTGCTTGTCTCGAGTTGTGTAAGGCAATGTTTTTAATATTAATAAATGGCAAACGGCCCCCATGCAATAACGTGACTCGCATTCTCACACCTCAGGCTAGTGATGTTACCTACTCCCAGTGCAGTGAAACTCATATGCCCCTTAGAAATAACTTTGCTCTACTGAACACTCGTTCCAGGCCCGACGTCAAGGGTTGTGTAGGTAACTAGAAAGTTCACCCTATTCTTCTCTTAGTTCAGCGGTGACTTCTATGTATTTCTGAAGAAATGGGTGAATTTACGTGATGTTAATCCAAAGATCCGATTCTCTGAATGAGCATTATAAAGTTTTTTAAATGACAAACACATTCACTTACACATATTTGACAATCAGAATATATCATATAGTTCATGATATAGTTAACAAGTTTGTGAATATTTTGAATAAAACACGAAAAGATAAAACAAAAGTGATAGGCTACATCTGTCATACAGCGCTGTTGTGCCTACATGTCGCATCACTATGGAAATAGTAAGGTGATACGTTCAAGCACCGACCCAGCATTATTTTTTTCTATTTTGTTTTTCACTATACAACAGAACGTGCGCCAGGAGAGCCAGCTGTCAATGTCAATTGTCCTCCATGTGTTTTTCTTCTCGTCACGTTTGATTTCGCGAGTCTCTGTGAGATCTCATCACTGTGAAATCATTCCAATTACAGTCAACAAGTGTGTGGTCTCACGGTCTGGTCTAATCA